GGCTGCTGATGAGTCTTGGGTTATTCCTTTCTATGCAGAGGATCTCACACACACGACTGCCTTCTGGCACTGAGCGATGTTCTAATAAACCCACCCACGGATTAGCTTGCCTTTTTTCCTTCTTTTTTTTTAATCTGTTCACCATTAATGGCCATGGGCTGCTTTCTCTTACGCTGACTGCTAACGGAACACGTGCTATACAGGCCCGAGCAGAGTTTTTTCTCTTGAGCTTCCGAATTGGAGTCTTTTTTCCAGAGATGCGTCTTCTGCTATAGCTTGGTATTTTTCTTTTTACTTTATTCCTGTCTCACTCATTCTCCATGGGCTGCTGTGGACGTTAAGTGAGTCAGTGCACATAAACATTCAGAAGAGTGATGCTCAGCTGGAGTACCAGTGCTAACAGGAGCCTGGGGGAGGCAGGGGATGGCCTTCCTCAGCCAGCCAAGTTCCCCTTTTGAATCTCCCCCGGCTCACTCGCTGCCACAGCCCTGTGCTTACCCATCTTTCTGCGTGGCCTTTGCTAGTCTGTTGGCACATCTCAGGGCATTCTCAGCTGTGTAACCCCACTTCTTTGTATTCCGAATGCAGTTTTCTCTCTGCACTCATCTTTCTTTCCTTTCTTGTCTGCACGGCACAGGCTTAGTTTTCATCTTCTCATGCGGTTTTATAATCTTGAGTCTGAATTCTTATAACCCAAAGAGAGCTCTTTTTTTTTTTTTTAAGAGAATGATCATATTATCACAAACTATAAGACAATGAAGAGCTATTTTAATCCCTCCTATGTTTTTGGGAGGTGCAACCTTTGGAGATGCATTTTTCCCCACTGTCTTTATGTTCTTTGCCTATCTAGGCTCACTTCACAGGTTCAGTCTTCTCCTAACATTATTTCTCCCAATATGTCTCATATTTTTTTTCTTGGGAGAAAGCTGGGTACTCTGAACCCTAAACTTTAATGCATTTTCTTGAACGTTCAATACCAAGCCCATTTCACGTTCTGCTTCTTTTAATGGCGGCTCGGTAGGGCATCCCCACTTTCCTGGGTCCTGGCCACATCCTCTGATCTCATCTCTTTAATCAAAGGCTACTGGCTACGCCTTTGTACACTAAGACACACACTTTTCATGGAATCTGTTTCTTTTTGTTTGTTTGAGACAGGCTCTCTCTATGTAGCCCAGGCTGGCCTCAATGTGGTGTTAATCCTCCTGCCTCGGCCTCCTGATTGCTGGGATTGCATGCTCGTGCCACCACACCCAGCTTGAGCTCTGTCTCTTACCCGAGGCCTGAGGAGGTCTGTGTCCTTTCTCATAGTTTTATCTATATTCTACCGAGCCTGGAACATTAACTAGACATTGTGACTGCAATGACCCAAGAAATAAAATCTAATCTGATGTAAGAAAAGGAGGGAAGGATGGAAGGACAGAGGGAAGAGACACAGAAAAAAGAACATACATAAGGCAGAGCAGCCTACAGTGCTGATGTAATGGATTCAGGCACAGCTGGATCCAGGAGTTTAGAGTATCATCCTTGAACCTGATCACTACCCCTGTTTCTGAGCCCTCCTTATTTACACACCACCTTTCTCATCTCTCAGAGCTTCTCCCTACAGGACAATCAAAGGGCCGCTGTGGGCTCTAAGGCCACATTATAGTCACAGCTTCTGAACCGGGAGAAAGACTGCTTTGCGTCAAAGTTCTTGATGAAAGTCTCAGGAATGAATTCAGGCAGCCTGGCTGGGACCACAGTCTGTCTCTGAACCAAATGTGATAGCTGAAGGCTGGAGAGTTCTGATAAGAAGCCCCCTGGACACACAGCTGTCTGTGGGGACGAGGGAGGGAAGGCAGGCTCAGCGCCCCTCTAAACATGGCCTGAGTGGGGTTCACCCACACAGTGTGGTAAGGGTTGTCTCCCACATGAAAGTGTACCAGGCAGACCAAAAAAAAAAAAAAAAAAAAAAAAAAAAAAAAACCACAAAAAAACAAAAAACCAAAAACCAAGCCTATACTAGGGATACAAAGTTTGTTCCATAGTGTTTGGGGGTGGAACGATTTTTTCTGTCCCACTGACACTTGTTTCTGTTTTTCATTCTTTGATGCCTTCATTGGGTTTCTCCAAAAGCTTTCGCTTTGGTAGCTTCAGCCAGGAGCCCTCTGGTTCTTATTTTTACTCCAACAACACTAAGGACTTGATAGTTTTCAAGTAAGGCTTTCAAACCTTAGTAAGCATCTCACACTTTCCAGTGAGGCCTAGAGGAGATGAGAGTGAACAAACACAGTTCTTTCCATTTTTAAGATCAGAAAACTCTGAAAGTGTTAGGAGGCGGGGCAGGGGCACACAGCTAAACCAAGTGGCAGGGTGAGAACTGGACCTACTTTCCAGATTCTGGTTCCCAGAGAAGAGTTCTGCACGCACTGGAACTGACTGGTCTCAGGCTCCCCTCTGGACCACCTTTCCTAGCCATGGCAGACGGAACAGCATTCACGCAGCAAGCCTTACAACGTTTAGCCAGATGCATAAGGCGTCTGTTAGACTGGGCCCTTGGCTGGGTGGATGGAGGTGCATGCACGGCAGTGTTACTGTTTTCAATCCAGGTGGTAATACCGAGCAACAGATAAGGAAATGTCACTGGGGAGCAACCTTCCAAGCCTTAAGCGAATTCCTAAACGGATCCATGGAGGTTGTTGTGCTAAGCACACGGATTGAGGATGACAGATCTGTAAGTTCTTCTATAGAATGTTAAATCATCCCCAAGACAATTTTCCCATAAGCTCTAGGGAGCAAACCCAAGGCCTGTGCACGGTAGCCAAGCAAGTGCTCTACTGCTGAGCCGCACCCCCACGCCTGTCCCTATTACGCTGTGTGCAATGATATATCACTTAGAAAATCCTTTTCCTCTCACACTGAGCATAAACTTAAACTCCAGGCCATTCGATGTCTGAATTATACATATTTTGAATAAAGGGTTGCATTCACTCTTAAGCCCAAGCAGCACTCAACACGAAGGCTACCCGAGCCAGTGAGGATCCAGGGGCGGGAGCGAGCCTGTCCTCGCCTGCTCTGTCCACACTCTGCGTTCCTGGTTCTTCTCAGGCCCCTGTCATTTGCATTCCCTTCCCGCCTTCTCTGCCAGCTCAGCTTCCTGACGAGTCTTCATTTTCCACTTGATGGTCTCAAGATGAAAAAATGTTAATTGAGGGTAGGGCTCTCCCATCACAACTGGGAATATTCCACTGCCTAGTAAAGATCATTTCTTGGAATTACTCATTTAAATATTTACAAGAAACAATTATCAAGTGTCCCAGACTGATTCATAAATGTAATTAAGGAGAGAACTGCTAGGAGTTTCCATTTTCTCGTTTGTTTTAATTCTACTGTATAAACTTTTCAGTTGTCACGACCTCAACAGAACCCACCCAGTGATGAAAGGAGGTGAACATTCACAAAGCACAAACGTTATTGACAGTGAGACTTGCCAGGGCGTCCTGCAAACCCGACTCAACCACAATCATTATACAATGTGAACACCATCCTCCCCAAACACAGAAACAATTAGTGCTGCCGCCAGCGCCTCCTAATTTTGGACAGGCAGGGAGCCGTGCTCCTGCTCCCTAATTGACGTGCCCTTTGCTACTGGGGGGACGAAACCGTGCAACTGAAAATGCCCTCGCTGTCCCAGGATGAGGAAGGCATAATGACCCCTGCTTGCTGGATTTTTCTGTGACCTCCGAAGGTTTGGAAAAATAAATAAGCAAACTAACTAGCTCTTGTCTGGCTTTTCTAGTCAACTTGCATTACCCTAAGGATGGATGCAGCAAGATAAACGCTTCCTTTTTGCTTTGGTCCTGACAAGGACACCAGTTTTCCCGCTGCCTTTTATGTTCCGGCTCGGAGGACCACAGCCTGTTCTTACTCACCCACGGGAAAGCATGTGTCTGCGAGGCCAGTATGATGTTTTGTGCTCAACTCCCAGAGTCCAGATTTAAAGTTACCTTCTTCCACTTTCGGAGACATTTCACTTTCCCTTGAATTTAAGAAATGTTCTGAATGCAGAAAGACAGCGCGAGGACCGCTAGGTTGCCTAATATAAATTCCTCTTTAGGCTGTGCAAGCAGACCAGGTCAGCTGGGCTAAACGGACGGGCTGCCAAGCAGTCACTTCGGGGAAAAGTTTGCAGTCGTGTGTCTGGACAAGCCAAAGTCAGATCCCAAATCTAAAGTGAGAACAAGGACTTGGTCTTAAAATGGCCCTTGGAATCTAACTTTGTAAGCAAATTCAAAACGGGCAATTGTCCATGCTGACCTAATGGAAAGTCCTAGAAGAAAATATCTGACCAAGAGAGCCAGCCCAGGCCAAGATCTGGGTCTCTCAGCATCGTCCCTGGCTGGGGCTTGGAGGTGGTCTCTTCACCCCATTGTCTCCCTCCCTCTGGTCTCTGATTATTCAAGTTTTTAATAACATGCAGGGTAAAAATGCGCACGGTCCATTCAGAGATTGCTGGTTTGTCACAAGCCCTCTCTAGGAATGTGATACAAAATTAAGTCCCAAACATGCATTTAAGAGTGGTTAATAGAGGGATAGCACAGATAACAAATCCATAGGACTCTATGTGTTAACCAGAAATATGTGGCGTTAGCATCAGTGGACTAACCCAAAAAGAGGTAAGGGAAGATTCCAGACCAGGCAAGAACCCTAAATAGCACACAAACAGAATGATCAGTCGTCACCCATGAACTCACTCCAATGGTCCAACCAACCTAACCCTAACAGTCCTACGGGAGAAGCATTTTGGCAATTAAACATAAAAGGTTCCATGAGGATTAAATAGGAGACCAGGGAAAATCAACTCCATTCATTTGCAAGAAGAAATCTCTCCTACTCAATGATTTAAAATTTGTTTATTATGTGAATGAGGAAAAGCAAATCTACCATCTGCGTAAGACAAAGAACAAATGGTAAATGCTACAGTTACCCTGACCCCGAAATTAAATAAAAAGAATACTGACCCTCCGCTTCTCAGGTGAGATGGTGAGGATGCTCCTCTCATCACTTCCTGCTCTCCTCTGATTTCTCTGAAGCCTCCATCGTACGTGAGGTGAAGCGGGTGGCTTTTTAAACGGCCAATGGCATCTGATTCTGTTAAATAAATCCCATTGGTTTTTACTGTCGAATCCCCCGTTATAACTGTGTCTTTGGATTCCACTGTCTTCTTCACTGTAATAATCAAGGAAATGTTCTGTCAAAGCGTTTCTTGTCTGAGGAATCACTATCTTTCAACATTTTCAACCTAGGTATTTATTTAAAAGTACATTATAATCAAAGAGTTTCATGGAGTTTTATGACCAGAGCCTCTGAACACATGCAAGACTTTATTACAATTTTAGGCTGACTACCATCAATTCTATGGGTAAGATGTACAGGATTATGACTCTATCACACATTGCCCTAAGCACCTGGGGTGCATCAGTGGCAAAACAGAATCCCTGTCCTCTTGGGGTTTACGTCCTAATAGCTGTGAACAGACCATATGCAGTATGCGATAAGGCATGCGATCTGTTTTAAGACAGTGCCACAAACACAAGAAACAACAGGAAAACGGGGCAGGGTAAAGGGAATCGGGACCGGGATGGCGGAAGACAGCACTTTTAAACAGAGGGGCCTGGCCCAGCAGGGAGGCGGTCCCAATGTCATCAGAGGAAGGCGGACACTGTTTTGAGCAGGGGCCCAGCTGGCACGGAGGCCCAGAGGCAGGAGTGTGCATAGGATGCTTGAGGGGCAGCAAGAGCGGGATGTGGGGGGACAGGGGAGGTGTCCAAGAGGAGGGACTCTGAGGTGGTGCAGCACAGCCTGCCATGCCCTGGACAGGGGTCCGTGTGGGCGCATTTACAAAGAGGAAGAGTCCTAAGAAGATATCCTGCCTCTGAAAGGAAGCATGTGTTTTGTTTATGAATGTAAACTCTGAGACTCACAACACTTCTTATCAAGAAACTGTTATTAGGCATACGATATATAATATATATTATATGAAATATGCTATATAATATGCTGTTAGGTAGACACAAATATCATTAGAAATACTAGCAAAGCTCCTACTATACTCTAGTCTGCGATAAAACACAGGAGAAGAGGGCTGGGGATTTAGCTCAGTGGCTTAAGTGCCTGTCTGGCAAGTGTAAGGTCGTGAGTTCAATCCCTGGTACCAAAAAAAAAAAAAAAAAAAAATCAAAAAACCACAGGAGAAGAGCTGAAATCTCCCACTATAAGGCGGGGGACTGTGTGAAGTGAGTTTTGCATAGAAAAATAATGCTTCATAAGCTTTCCCAAAATGACTCAAGGTCTCTTTTTCTGCACTTATTTAAAAACCAACAAACCAATAAAAAAAAAAAAAAACCCAGCAAAACCACTTATTTGACCAATCTGACCAATCTCCTATTTTTTTTGTTTCACGAAAAGATAAAATTTTATAACCAAATAATAAGTGAATAAAAATAAGTATTACACAGTATATCGTTATCTCTAATGTCAGTCCTCAGTATAAGATATAAACCAAAAGATTATCACAAAAGAGAAACAGTAACACAAAACTTTCTTTTCAATGAGCTAAGATAATCTAGTAGTATAAATGAAACAAACTGGTATATATATTGAACTATTTTTAAAACAACAGAATATATATTGTCATTTGGGGAAATATTTCAACTTCTGCCTGCTTCTTATTTCTCTTTTCTATTTAACCTTAGTGATTTTGTATTCAAAATTTCATTTTTCAGATGAAAAAACTGGTAATCCCGAAAGGCTAAGTGACCTGTCTGCAGACACCACGCCGTCAGACGACGAGAGAGAGCAGAGCTTAAGGTTTTCTAGCCCATCAGTCTGGGGTGCGGGCGCAGGCCCCAGAGCACCTCTCTGTGATGTGGGCAGGTTGCTCGAGCTCTCTCCCCTTCTTCTTGGGGACGTGGTGAGAACTGAAGGATGGGGAAACATAAAGGTACACCCAGGAAGAGACGCTGCACCCCGCTTTCCTTACAGTCCACTTGCAAGGAGTGAGCCTGTCGGTTGTCACTACAGTAGACGCCTGCTTGTGCTGGGGCTCACTCTGACCCTGAAGAAAGGCCACCATTACACTGAGCATGCTCGCTGTAGTCCTGGCAAATACGTGCAGGACACTGCACTAATTCTGTCATGGGCCGTGGGTAAACTGGCAAACGACACAGTTCCATGTCACAGACACCTCTCCCCTACCTGCCATGCATCCCAAACTATTAAAAGCTCTTAGGGCACAAAGAAAGAAAAGAATTTTTCCTTCCAAAGTTGCTCAGGCCAGAGGGGCAGATGCAAAAAGAGATTAACGCAGTGCAGAGTGGCACCAACCAGGAAATGAGACGGCATAAAGTGGAGTAGCCTTGAGAGCTTGGGAGTTGGTCTGGGGAAGATCTGTAGACAAGGAAAAACCTGAGAGACACCTGGAAAGGTGAGCAGGAGGCAAATAGTTTGATGAAAAAGGAGCCAAAGTTTAGAGACAACTTCACGTGTGTCCAACCTGCACAGAAAGGCTGGTCCTGGACTGGTTTCATGCTTGGCTATTGAAATTCTGAATTTGGAAACAACCACACACATTTTAATTTTGCACTGAGTCCAGCAAATTATCAGAACAGGTTTGGCTTGAGGCTTGAGAAGCAGTGTGGGTGAGGAAACTGCAGGGTTCCGTGCCACCGGGGAGTCACCACCACCGCAGGACAAGGGCCTGCAGCCTCATCACAGGGCTGGGACTTCCGTCCCTCCGCTAGTCACTAAACTACAGCTCCACAAGGCGGCCACTTCTTATTTTTGCAGAACCTGTTACGGCTTGTGTCCAGGTATCCTGCCAAAACCTCGAGTGGTCATGGATGCTTTTCCAAAGTGGCTGGATCTAGGGTTTGTGCTGCTGAGATCAAGGACATTTCAGGGTGTGATACGAGGATTAAGGGTGTGAGCGCTGCCCCACCAAAAGGTGGGCAGTACCAATACAACGTAAGAGACAGAAAGAAGGTCGCTTGTGGCTTGTCCCTGGCTGCGTGCTGCTTTCTGCCAGGCACTGTTTGTCCTCTGCTGCCTTGGCACCAGCCAACTACGAGCTGAAACCTCTACAAACTGTGAGCTAAATAAACCTTTCCTCCCTTAACTCTGGGTCTCACAAAAAAGGCAACTAAATCAGCCTGCAAACTAAAATGGCTCTTATATTTTGGAGTGGCCCAGCAGGGGGGGAATATCAAAGGAAGAACAATATTTTATGACAGGCAAATATTGCATGAAGTTCATTTGGTTCAGTGGTCATAAATCAGACAACGGTGGTTTCTACACTATGATTTTAGAGTGGAAGAGGCCGGATGAAGACCAAATGGACACGTGGCCTACAATTTTATTTTGGGGCCTTTTACAGAAAAAGTTTGTTGATTTCTGTTGCAGACTAGTGTTTCCCAAAGTGTGTTCCCAAGAGACCAGTTCCACAGTCCAGTTTTGGGGAAAGTGGGTTGAATTAAAATTAAACAATTTCCTTCCTGGATGGCTTTCCCAACCCTTTAATATGTCCCTGAGCACTGCAACAGGAGGGGGCAGCGCTTCCCTCCTTTAAAAAAAGAAAAGAAAATTCACATTTGCCAGGAGTCTTCCCCAGATTTCCCTGGTCGAGACACAGAGGCCTCAGAAGGTTTTCAGCGAGGGGTGATGCAGTCTGATTGATTTGCTTCCTGAGCTGTTGTGCTTGGTGGGATGCACAGAACATGACCTCTGCTCATGGTTCATGGGGCTCCAGGGTCAGGCAGCTCCAGGGGCCCAGGCTTACTCTGTGGACCCTGACAGGGTGAGAGTGGATGTCAGGAGTGCAATGCCACGAAGAGGCATGCAGTGACAAAGGTGGTGTGGTGGGGCCGGGATGGGAGAACAGAGACTTCAGGAGTTGTCAAGAGGCCCTGGAGGGCTTGGTGACAGTCTGACGGGGACCAGTACAAAGCTGGCATCTGCACTGAGTTTGCCTCCAACAACAAGGGGGGGATGAGCCACAGCACCTGCCTGTGTGGACCTTAAAAGCTTCTGAGCACAAGGTGATGACCTGGCCCCATGGAGGTGACACACTTCTCTTCCCCTTTTCTTTTGAAACCAGCAATTTCAAACTCGCCACCACACCCTGGCTGTGGGATGGCGTCAGCCACTGGTGACTTCACCCCCAGGGAACCAGGCACGGCTGGTCTCAGGTCTCAGTGACCCAACAACGTCTAAACAGAAGAAAGCCTCAGAAGTCAAACCAGGCAGCTCCAAAACAAAGGATGGTGTAACCCCAAGGCAGAGAGCACAGGTAATCTTTTTAAAAAACTGCTGTGTGCTGAAGAGGATGACATTTTAGTGGCACTTTCCTGAGCGCTGACACAAGCTGACTGATGACAGGGTAAACAAAGGAAGTACCGCACAGGTGCGCCTCCGGTGCACATGGAGACAGGTGAGGGCCTCGGAGCGGGGCTAGTGCCACGCAAAGAGGGCCAGGCCCCGGGAGAGGGCAGGAGTTAAGCCACCAGAGCCCTGAGGATGGGGACAGCCACAGGCATTCACCTCCACTTCCACGGGGACACATCAGCCAGTGGAGGGGTTTGCAGATGTTGCTACCAAGAGTTAAATGAAAGATTAAGGCTCAGAAGCAGGCACATCCTGTTTGTGAGAATTAACCTGGGTTCCAGAGCCTGCAGCAAGCGCTCCGGCCCTGCAACCACTGATCTTTTCTGAGCCAGCTGGTGTGCCACAGGACTCCAGCAGGGGCTTCTGCCGTGAGATCCACTAGTGAGCAGAAACAGAGCCGGTGCTGTCTGTGCCTTGCCTGCGCTTTGCCCTGGCTTCTCACTGCAGGCAAAATGCAGTCCGGTCCGTTCCCTGTATTCCAAGACAGCCCTTGGCCCAGCTGGGACACAATGCTTGTGTTTCTACCTGCTTTTCCCTCAGGGTGGCGCTCTGTCTGCATGTTGTCTCCATCTCATTATCTAACACAGGGGTCATCGCTTCAAAGACACCTTCCAGGGACTCCTGAGCTAATGCAAATGAGCCCTGCCAGGGCCGCTCTGTCTTACTGTCCCGTCTCTGTGATACGATGCCTGGCACCCACAAGTTAAAGGAGGAAAGGTTTAGCTTGGCTCACAGTTTGTAGAGGTTTCAGTCCACAGCTGGCTGCCTCCAAGCAGGGCACATCGGAAGAGTGTGGCCGGGGAGAAACTGGCCATGTATGGAGGGCAGGAAGCAGACAGAGAGAGAAAAAGAGCCCATGATCCAATCACCTCCCCAGAGCCCCCCTTATGAGCACATGTGGCTTGGGGGGCATCCGGATATAAACCACGACACACTTTCTATCTCATTTTCTTGTTCGTCTTCCTCAGAGCATCCATTAGAACTCTAATTGTCAATTTTTTTTTCCTCCCTACACTGAAGGTTCTCTGAAGCCCTGATTAGTGCCTGGCACTTGGTAGGGGCTCATTAGGACTATGTTAGAACAGAAAATCGGGACATCAAGGTAAAACTGCCTAACGATACACCTGGTTATAGCATCACAGTCACACACACACACACACCTGCACTACTTCATCCGTCCTTTCTCCTTCTTCTCTATCGCGAGCCAAACAGGCAAAGGACTGAAGTGAGCGGGCTGAGGGTGAACCGCAGATCATATTCCGGGGTATAGGATGGATTCCGCTGGGCTCTATTCCTCCCCACATGGCTGGGGACACGGTGTTGAAATCAGATCTGATTTTTCACAAGAAGTCACAAATCTACCTTGTAAAGACTGGCAGCAAATTGAAGGGAAACCCGAGTGCTGTTCAGGGTGCCCGCTGGGATCCGTCTTGAGACAGCCCCGGGCTCTGCGGGCTGTGCACCCGAGCTTTGCTGGCCCTGCTGACAGGCAGCACTGTCAGCGCCTGGTAAAGCAGTTACCAACGTCGCTGACCACATACAAGAAACGGGTTTATCACAAGTCCCTGCACACACACAACCGAAGTCAAGTCACTTGAAGCAATTCTTACTTTGATTACAAACAGTGTATCCTGATATCTCCATTATTTCTATTCCGTGTCATTTTTCAAAAACTGCCAGTGTGATCCCTCAGATTGACTGCTATCCCACTAATGGGTCCCTTCTTGCCATCTGGAAAACCCTTGGCCTGCCTGGCTGGGGATGATTCTGCCTGTGAGGTGTATAACCTCTCTACTCCAGCTCTGCAAACCTGCCAGCATTTCTGTGGCAGGAAAAAAATGTCTGTTCAAGTGTTGCTGACCTAGTCAACAATGATCAGAAAGGTATGAAAGCCCAAGCGCAGTGTACATTAGGAGAGTCCTATAATTCTTATTAATTTCTAATGAAATTAACAACTTTGTGAACTCTGACTTAAAACTTATTCCTGGTGTGTGTGGACCATCCACTTGGAAACACTTTTTTTATGGGCTGTGCTGGGGCTTGAACCCACGGTCTGTCAAGTTGGGCAAGTGCTCTACCGATGAGCTGCGCTCCTGGTCATGGACATCCTTTATAAACACCTAGAAAAATAGATAAACACTGTTCCTTCAGCCAGTATTCCTTTGCTCAGTATTAACAAAGTCTTAGTTTATATGAAAATCATCTTGGGTCAGCAAGATTCATACAAAAATAACTTTTGCACAAAAAGTCAAACAGCATGCCTGTCCCCAGAGTTTAAAGGACATTACGCGGCCTTACACTCAGCGGGAGGAAGGGTTCTGTCCGGCAGCAGAGCCCCCTGGGAGGCTGCCCTGAATAAGCGCGCCCGGGCACTGCTTATTCTTCTAATCTTCGCAGGGTCCACGGGGGGCTTAGGGAAAGAAAGGCAGGGATCCTCCTCTGCGCTGGGAGATGGCGGAGCTTTCGGCTTCTGGAAAGAGATGTTTCAAATGATTGGCATGAGTTTTGTTTTTGTCTCAGATAAGATTCACTCCCCTTGAGCTGGCCCCAATCCTTCCAGAAGAGCACATAGGGTTTCTGTTTGGCTCGTTCCTGGACCCCAGGCATGGCCCACAATTTTAAAATTATTTTTGTCAATTATACTAGTTTAATTGTTACACTATACTGCTTAGTATGTTTGAAAACAGACATATATATATATATATATATATATATATATATATATGAGACTATGAAGTTAAGTACAATACATTCAACATACTTTGAAAAGTAGTGAGTTCAGCTTAGCTCAGAAATCATTTTTGAACTCCTAGATTATATGCCAAGATGTATGTGAACGTTAAGTAATATCTCTACATATATTGGACTCCACAGAACAAGTTTTAATGATATCAGACTTTAAAATAATTTCAATTAAAAAGTCATAAGATATAAGACCAAGAAGTTGTTTTGGACTTCTGATATAAAAATGTTTATTTTTTATATCTTAAGAGTTATGGGCCAAAAAAGCTATCCTCTAGAGCAGTAATATTTTGGCAAATTTCCAACCCCTTGAAGACTAACCCAGGTTGGCCTTGAACTTACCATGTAGTAGCCCAGGCTGGCCTCAAACTCTCAATCCTGCTCCCTGAGCCTCCCCAGTGCTGGAATCACAGGCATGGGCCACCACGCACAGTCATTTGAAGACTTTAAATCAAAAGGCTATACCAAGTTACAAGACACTGAAGGTTCCTTCTGGCCCAACCTCGAGATGGTCGTGGTCTCTGACCGGGTGCCAGAGCCACCCAGGACACTGAGCTCCCAGCTTCAAGGAGACCTAGAGATCCTGTCCTTCCTGCCTTCAACTTTAGTACAATTATTTGTCTATGGAAGAGCAGCTGTATGGCAGCAGGTGCTTTTATTGTTCTAACCAGACATAATTAAAGTTCCTAAAGTTACTTCCATAATATATGAGACGAATGACTCATTCTCCAATGCATGAATCAAAAGTCTTTTAAAAATTTAGTGGAATTCACATAACTTGTGAAAACGGGTGAGATCATCAGCATAGGACACACCTTCTCAGGTATTTATTTTCTCATATACTCTTGTAGAAAATGGGGATCCGTATTAGCATTCTCCCACCAAGAATTTGCTAATTTCAATAATGATAACATGTTTCAAGATTCTATTTCTTTTTGATCACTGGCATCCAGTGCTGATTTTATAAGCCTGAACAAAAACAATTCACTTTACACCTTGAGAGAGACATTTTAGAGACTGGTTAGAAAAAAGGGAAATAAAATAATCAGTACAACACAGAGGGGGATCAATCACTTTGGGACCGAACAGTCCTGGAGAGGGATCTGTTTACCCGCTAGATGAACATGCCACTGACATTTTGACCCTGCCCAGCCGCACCAGAGGCAGCATTGCCCTCTTCCAGGGAAGCTCACATCAACACGCTTCCTGCCGTGGGAGCCTGTTAAGCGCCAGCCCCTTCCCCATGTGACACAGACTTTCGTTCCCCATTACTTTTTTTTTTCCGGCAGCAGTAGGAAAAAATCCGGGGTACTCTACCACTGAGCTACATCCCCTCCCTTTTTATTATTTATTCAGAGACAGGGTCTTGCTAAATTGCCCAGGCAGAAATCAAACTTGCATTGCTTCTGCCAGAGCCTCCTTGATGCTGGGATTACAGGCATCACCCTGGCCTCCCACACAACCTTCCTAGCAGAAGGATGCTGATTTGGAGATAAGCACATTCCCCTATCTACGTACTTCACTTTTTATTCTCCCCACTTTGTTACAAAACAGTCATAAGAAAATGTGGGGAAGGGGCTGGGGGTTTAGCTTAGCGGCATAAGCGCCTGCCTTGCAAGTAAGCAGTCATGAGTTCGATCCCTGGTACCGATAAAAATGAAAAAGACAAAAATTAAAAGAAAAAAAGAAAAAAAATGTGGGGAAGCTAATAGTGACAGAGAAGCAAGGAGTATAATATGGAGAAATGAGAGGTTCACACATCATCAAAAAGACATTAAAGATTCGTAATGATAACCTCAATATAGAAGGTCACCTCAAAACGTCTGTACGCCACAGCACCTTGAAACTGCAGCAAAGGTCAAGAAGTCTCCAAATAATAATACAGACAAAGCAGGTGGGTCTTTTCACAGCTGTTAGTACTAAATAAAAGGGCCCATTAAAGGGAGAATATTGTCTGGAAAGTTAATTTTTCTCCAAAAGAGAGTCAACCAAATTACCTTTGCTAGGCAAGACAGAGTGCCATCAGCACTCCTAGGTAAAAGGCATGATTTTTCTACTGCAAATTTGTAACTAGGTAATGAAATTTTAGTTTCATTTTAGTACTGACCTTTAACAAATTATTTATCGTATTTGAACATGTATCAACTATAAAGCAATGCACATAAAGCATTTTTAATTTTTCAAGGGAACACTACTAACCAGATTAGGAATTTATTTCACACTGGGATGTATAAAGTATTCTTCTATTTTATGCAGAAAAATGGCTTTTATGAAGAAAATTAGTAAAACAGCTTTTTTAAAAAAGTCAAATTCAGATACTTCTAGAAATCAGAGAATCCTGCGTGCACACTCATTGAGACTTGAGAACAAACAAGGGCACCTCGTGGGACAGCTGACCTTGATTGCCAGCTTGACTGGCTGCAGACCTTAGTGTATGTGGGTGGGTCATGGGGATGTGACCTTGGGGACTATATCTGGTCCTTGGCTCCTTCCTTTCTGACGCGTGCCTGATGTTCTGCTTCTCAGCAGCTATGATCTCAGCTGCTGTGAGCTCCTGGACCTTCGGTCACGATATTCCTGCCTTGAAGGCAGCCAACCACGGACTGAGCCCTCTGAAATCATGGCCAAATGAACTCCTTTAAGTTGCAAGTGTTAGGCAATTTGTCCCAGCAGGAAAGTTGATTAATACACCAAAAAATTCAGGTATTATTATTTATTCTGGCTGATATAACTGGTGAGTTTCTAAGCTGTTTTCTTTTTAAAAGAAACTACATTTTGATTCACCTGTCAATATACTTGGAGCTCTGTTCGCATACAGGAATTTATTCGTAATCACATTAGTCTGTGCTGTTAGAAGTCAGCATAGTAGTGTCCTGGGGAGGCAGTGGCTGTGCAGCTGGCCTTCCTGACTCTACAAATGACCTCTTTGATGCTGCTGTGGGATCTGTGTTTTCCTTTTAAATGCCTGTTGCTGAGAGTTTAGTTTGTGTTAACTGTACTCTCATGATCCGTCTATTCTGTACATCAGAAATCTGAACAAACCAACTTGGAGCTTAACTGATGATGTCAAACAACAAAATTCCCTACTTACTCACATGGCCACGTCTCTGCTGACTTCATTCAGTCCCAAGGAAGCGAACACACTACTTTGTACCCATTAACAGGGCAGCAGAATAAAAACACGAATAGCTACCCGCGAACCACCCCAGTTTCCGGGCTGCTGTGGGATGCTGAGGAGCTGCTGAGGGACAAAAGGCATCCCGGCAAGCCTGCATACTGGGAGACGACCGTGTTAGTGCAAAGCTACAAAATGCAGCGCTTGCACCGTCTTACAAGCTGACAGGCGCTCACAGGATCCTCCTGAGCCAAGTGGACCAGCAGCCAGGGCCTGCCGGTCAGCATTAGGGGCATTTCTTTTCCATCACTCTCAGAAGCCCGGGCAACTTGAATGCGGAGCAGTTGTGGTCTGCTGACTGGTGTGTGGGAGCCTAGGCCAGTCAGGAAGGGGAGACACATGCCCAAGAGCAGAGTCAGCAATCCAGCCCGTGCGGCAGCTGGAAGGGCTCCCCCCGGGTCCCTCCTCCCTGACTGCCTGCGGCTTCAGGAAAAATAAAAGGCCAAGTCATTGGAGAAAGCGCTCTAGGTGCAAAAGGTGCCTGGTAACACTCACAACTCTTTCAGCAAACGTGTGCCTGAAGGTCAGGCACCTCCCTCCACCTCTCCCGTGTCCCATCCTTTCCGCCCTTCTCTCCAGGGTCCCCCACCCCCCCACTTCAATTCCCCCTTGCCTTTGTCAGTTTAGTGACTACCAGAGTCCAAGGTTCCTTGAAACAGTAAAGTCAAAAAGAGGGAGGAAGAGCAGGTAATCTGAGGTCATTTTCAGGGTGTTTGAACCGGGAACCTCAAATTTTCACTGTTGTTTGAAATATATTTAAGCTCTTATATAGTCTACCGTAACAAAAGAAATTTACACTCCAGCAGTCATTTTACTTACCGTGGGGTGAATATCTTAGACTGCGCTTACTGTGAACATAGCACCCACCCACACTGCAGTAAGGAAATTTAATTTCTTGACCCTAAATAGAGGCAAATGCCAGTATCGTCTTGGCCAACATCTGTCCTGCAGTCTAAGGCTGCACCACTTTGATAAGGCCGCGAGCACTCTAGACTTTCAGAAAACAATAGGTCCCAAGTGAGTGAATCCCCCAAATCTGCAGTAATGAGTCACAAAACTGACTCAAAGCGCGAGTAGTTCTAAAGGCGACAGATGTACGAGGCGGTTTCAACAAATGGAAGCAAATTATTTACTGCATATTGGCTTACGTTTAATATTTTGGGATTTTTTTCCATCTTCGATATAATAACAGGTACAATCTCCCTCAGAGGCATTAAGTATTTTAAAAATTTAAAATACTTTTTGAGACACTGGCCATACATTACTGATACTGCCGAGTGATGCTGGTTTTCTGTTATGATTGCGTTGTGGTTACACAGAAGGCTGTCTGTTCAGATGACACGCAGACTCATGAACTGTTATCAATGAAGTGTCATGATGCTGCAACTTACTGTCACACAGTTCATCAAAACGAAACACATGGGCAAACACACTTAAGTGCACAGTAATAAACATTGAGGAGGCTGACTAACATTGCAGCTCCGTGGGAGTCTAAGGAATTGATATCACTTTGGTAGCAGACGCCTAAGGGGAAGGTGGCTAGAATGGGGAAGAGAGACTGGGATTCTAGTCCAGTCTCTTCTAGCTTTGTGTAATCGGGCTCTGGACCCAAGAGAAGACAGAAAATTTATTACTGAGAAAAGGTTAAAATAGACCATCTCTAACTCGCGTAAGTAAAAAAGGGTTCCCAATAATAGGTGTCTTTATTGTTGAGTGTCAGGATACTTCTGATAAACATGGTTATTAATTGAACATTTACATACTGATGTTAGGCATTCCTGCCTTTTCCCCACGGCTCTGAAAGCAGCAACCAGACTGTCTTTTAGGAGACTGCAGGTAGATACCTTTTCTTTGGGGACCCTGAATTGCCCCTCAGGGAGCCCCTAAAGAAATGCCACTGGAGGGGACAGCAGGAACACAGCCCAGCCAGACGCCCTAACCCGGGTGTGAATAGATACAATCTATAAATTAACCAACCCATCCATATGTCAGCAAGCAGCATGGGTCACCAGAGCAGAGTCTCTAGCGTGAGACACGGAGACCAAAATAAGCATAAAAATGCAACAAGGCTGTAAAGGGAGCAGAAAGCTAAACTAAAATAACTTAGCCAGGAGAAGTGATCTCTCCACTTGAGAGCTGAAGCAGAGGGGATCAAGAGTTCAAGGCTGGCCTGAACTACACAGTGAGACCTGTCTCCAACTCGCCCCAGGCCCCCCAAAATCAAAACTATCACTACTAGATTCAGATAAGATGCTGCAACTATGAAACAAAACTGTAATACTATATAAAAACACAATTGTTAAGAAAAAATAAGCTAGAAATGAAAATAACTCAATAAAGGGCTTAGAATATAAAGGTTTCTCCCCCCGCCAAACAAGATGTACAACAGAAAAACTGAAGACTTAGTTGATCCTGCATTGGAATAACAAATCCTAGAAAAGCAAACAGATCAGATCAGTGTACACTGAATGTATGCACGGAAATGCCACGCATGATCAATTGGTATGTACAATTAATAAACCTTAATAGAAACGGTTTTAAAAGTGAGGGAGACACGATCAAAATAATTCAAGAGCACTTCCCAGAATTTAAAGACAGAATTTAAATTCTACCTTAAAAGGGCAATTCAAGTAACTCAGCTACCAAAGGCACAGTATCTTGAAATCTCACAGCAAAGACAAAATCCCTACCAACTTCTAGAAAGGGCAAAAAAGGAAGCAAGGATCTGGAATGATTTACTGTCCATGTGGTCCTTCTTAAGAAGCTGGGAAGGAAGTTCTACCAACATCAGAAGATCGGGAAAGAGAAAAAGATTCAGGAAACTGGAAAAGCGCCCCGCGGCAGGAGCTCCCGTGGGTCCATGATGAAGAATATGGGAAGACAGCCCTCAGCAGGTGGCCAGGGAAGTGCGAGGGCCAGACACCCAGGAGCTGACCACACGAGCACCCAACGATGATCCAGCTTTGAGGGGAGAGTCTGGGGTTGAAATGGTAACAACAGGAAACTGAAAACGCAAGTCAACTGTTAGCATCAGAGAAAACACAAAGCAGTGCGCGGAGCAAAGTCAATCATTAGTCATCGTTAATGACTCAGTTACAAACATTTACATAACGAGAGTCCAAGAAACCTGATCTAACCAAAGTTATGTTCCATCCACATTGGGAGCACCAGCAGGGACAGAAAAGCTAGGAGGGGTGTGATGGGACACGAAGGGACAGACAAGAGCTGCATGTGCAGGTCCTTAGTGGGAGTCATCAGACAACTCAAGCTCCTCAGTCAGAGCAGCAGGTAATACAACGTGGTGTTTAGGAATCTGGACGTGAGTACCAGATCTCTGTCGGCCATCTCTCTCTCTTTCTATCTAAAATTGTAAATATAAAATATTTAAAATATAATTTTAAAAATAAAATTTATACATAAAATTTTATACGTAACTGTTAAAAAACAATACATACCTATTTTTTAAGAATACAAATATTGTGAAACATTTTGTTTACCAAATTACTATATTTTTTAAAAATTCTTTATCAAACTACAGGTACACTACAGAAGTGTTTCATTAGATACATGAACCACGATACTTGAAAAATATAAAGGAATTTACTTTAATATTACACTATCACATGATTGACCTACTACGTGATAATTCCCTAGCACACAGAAGTGCTGACTCCAAGTTTGGGCCAGTTCCATTTCACAGCTCATGTGGCAACGCAGTATAATGTACTCACCAGCTCTAGTGGACTGAGACGGGTGCCAGAGATCGGCTTACAGTCAGGTGACTCAAAGCTGGACGCATGCAGGCTGAGAGAAGAGACAGTGCAGAGTTAAGCGTTGGGGAAGAAGTCTCTTTTATTTCGCCTATGTTAGCTAAATGTTGCTGAAAAATAAGTAAAAGCATTTAACTCATAAGCCTTGAGAAAAGAGCAATTTTAAAATGTTAGTACTTAAAACATTTTATTAACAAGCTTTCACTACTTTGGGAAGATTTTTAAAACATTAAATAATGAAAAGAAATGCATATAGTGATTTTAAAAAAAACTCTGCATCACTTTATAAAGTTGTATAACAATCACCCCCAACCATTTTATTCCAAAATAACTTCCTGGAACTGATGTTTAGAATTATCTTTAGAAATCTTGAACAAAAGTCAAACTTAAAATAAGTATCTTGAAATCAATTAACACAATCCACACTAACAAGTTAAAGGAGAAAAATCATATGATCAGATCAATAGATACAGAAAGAGTATCTGATAAAACCCAACTATTGACAATAAAAATCTCTCAGTGAATTAGGAATAGAAGGAACCTCCTTCAATTTAATAAGGAACATCTAAAAACACCATAGAGATATCATGCTTCGTGATGAGAAACCTGAAGCTTTCTAAGATCACGAACACGGCAAGAATGTGCCCTTTTACTGCAGCTTTTCAGTATCATACTGAAGTTCTAGGTAATGCGGCAAGACAAGAAAAGGGAGTAAAAGGCATATGGATCGCAACAACAACACAAAACAAACTTTGCTGATGGCACAATCACCTGGGTAGGAAATCCTAAGGAACAGACAAAAGAGTCCTCCAGTAAGTGACTGTGGCAGGGTTATAGGATACAAGATGAAGGCTAAGAAGTCAGCTGCTTCCCTATATACCAGAAATGAACAAGTGGAAACTAACACAAAATCAGGTGCATTAGCGTCCCCTTCAATGAAACACTTCAACATAAATCTAACAAAATGTGTAAAACATCTGAATGAAAGAGATAGTAAGAACGAAAGAAATCAAAGAACTAAATAATCAGAAAGGCATTCCACTTACACAGCTAAGAAGACTCAACATTGTCAAGATGTTGGCTGGTCCCAATTTGAACTAAGATTTAATGCAATCTGAATAAAAATCCCAAATAATTTTGTAGGTATCAATAAACTAATTATTAAGTTAATGTGGAGAAGCAAAAGACCCAGAATAGTCAACATAACACTGAAAGAAAAGAACAAATTCAGAGCACTGACAATACCAGACTTCAAAACATACTACTGTAATCATGACAATGTGGGGTTGGTGAACCAACAGACCAACAGACCAACAGACCAGCGGGACAGAATGCAGAGACCAGAAATGGACCCATGTAAATACAGTCAACTGATCTTTGACAAAGGAACAAAGGCAATAGAGATTTCCTTAACTTACAACAGAGTGACAGCACAGTTGAAAATTTTGTAGTTAAAAACATTTTAAATATACCAGTACTGTATGCTGTAGAGTATAGACTGTTTGCCCTCACGATCATGTGGCTGACTGGAAGCTACAGCTTGTCAATTCTGCCAGCATCACGAGAGAGTATCCTACTGCATATGGCTACGGCAGGAAAAGATCAAAATTCAAAGTCCCAGTTCTATGGCATATGTATCCCTTTCACATGACTGTAAAATATAAAACCGTTAAGTTGATCAGGGACTTTGTGCACTATAGAGAGATAGCCTTTGACAGATGGTGCTAGACAAATGAACATCTACATGCCAAAAAAGGAAACTAGACAGAGACATTACACCCATTACAAAAATTAACTCAAATCTATCCTGGACCTAAATATGAGACTTAAAACTATAAACCTCCTACAGGATAACAGGAGAAAGTCTAGGTTTCTCTGGGTACAGTGATGACTCTTACACAACCTCAAAGGCATGATCCATGAAAGAAAGACTAAGTAAGCTAGACTTAACTAAAATTTAAAATGTCTGTTCTACAAGAGACACCATTAAGAAAGCAAGAAGAAAACCCAGACTAGTAGAAAACATCTGCAAAAGACACACAGTACAAGATAAAAGATGGCTACTCAAAATACTCCCAGAATTATTAATCAATAATAAGCCAGATGTGGTGGCCCATGCCTGTAATCTCAGCACGTGGGAGGCCAAGACAGGAAGACTGAGTTTGAGGCCAGCCTCGAATACAGAGACGCTGACTCAAACACAAAAAACAAATGATGACAATAACAACATAGTTCCACAATAAGGACACAATGCAAATAAAAACTGGGTCACAGCCCTTAATGAATGAGGACAGATGGAGGGAGAAAAGATGTTCCATACCACACATCACCAAGAACATGCAAATGAAGAGACAGATGCCACTACATGACTATTATGAGGGTCAAACTCCAGACCGCAGACATCACCAAACGCTGATGAGGGCATGGAGAGGAACAGGAACTCTCACGCTGGTGGGAGCGGGAAAGTGTAGTCACTTCTGAGGACAGTTTGGTGATTGTTTTTTTTACAGAACTAAAGACACTCTTACCATATAATCCAGCAACTGTCTTCTATTTATCAGAAGGAGCTAAAAACTTATGTCCATATAAAAACTTGTACAATGATGCTGACAGCAGCCTCATCTATAATTCCCAAAACTTGGAAGGAACTGAAATGTCCTTCAGTAGGTGAATCAGTAAACTGTGGCACATCCAGGCAGCGGAATATCATTAGGCACCACAAAGATATGGCTATCAAATCATGGAAAATGACAGAGGAAACGTACATGCTGTTACCAAGTAAAGCAAGCAGTTTGAAAAGACTACTTGGAGGTAGACCAGATAATGAGAATCGAGGCCTAACTGATAAAGGAGAAAACAGCAAGCTCTACTCCTTTGGCAACATACAGGGATGCTGGTACTTCTCAGTGCTAGGGAAAAGTCAACATAGCTCAGATTCAGTGATCTGCCTGGGTGTATACTTCAGATAATAAGAGGCAGATGAATCTTCTGCTATTCTAAGCGCTTGTAACCCTAAGTGAATAAAAATCAAGGTGAGCCAGACCCTCGGGTCTCTTTGTCCACTGGAGGCAAGAGCTCCCTGGTCACCAAATTCTAAAGTGACTCTGTGTTTGTTTTTCATCCTTGTTTGCCCCTGGTCAGAGGACAAACTAGCAGGACTGGGTCTCTACAAGTGGTGCCCGAACAAAGAACTGATCAGACCTGATCAGTGGTTTCCTCCACTACATGTTATATGATGCCTACTATGTGATACTCTAGAAAAGACAAATATGGAGACAAAAAAAGATGACTGGTTGCCAGGGATTGGGAGGAAGGACAAATCCACAGAGCAGAACTAAGAGAAAATGTAGTCTGGTGGCCTCGGTGTACCTGAAGGTTAAGTGTCATTCACCTGAAGGAGGAAGGAGGCCTGTTTTCTGGTGTTCTTGAGGATGCAGGTCCAAATAGTTTCCTTTGGTCTTCCTGGGGCGTAAACGGTCTTTGGGTTCTAACTGTTCTTAACGCATTTCGTGCTTCACTTATGATTTCTGCACTGGTCTTCTGTTTGGACACTGAAGGTCGATAAAACGGATCCATTTTTTCCAACTTCTTATCATTTGAAGACAGCATCTTTCCTTTTTAAGGTAAAATGGTTTTCAGATACCACACCCTGCAAACATACAGTACGATAAATATCAGCTGTTGCTATCCAGTGCTTTAGAAAGGAGAGCTCAAGCCCTTCCACATAGTAAACTATTCTTTTATATTAGCTTGAAAAAAAACAAACAATTTTTAGTTAAAAAGCTAAACAGCAGACAAAGATGAAAGAATAGCTCTCAAAAACATGGGCTGCACAGTTCTGCTAATGTGTGATTGAGGAAAAGATGCACAGGGAAGAAACCCAAGATACAGGAGGAGAGAATCATCTCATTTTAGGGTAGGGGTGGCATGGAGGGTTGAGACTGGGGCCTCACGCACGGTAGGTGGGTGCTCCCCCACTCAGCTACATCCCCAGCCTGTGTCTCATACTGACCTACAAGAAACACTAGGAGATTTCTTAAAATTTTAAACTAAAGTTGCCTTTTCTTCCATTGAATTTTAGACAGACAAGGACTACTTCCAAACTACATCTGCTTTACAACAAACCTCTGGGAATGGCTTGGCCCCGTAATTGTCTATGATGCTTTTGATTGAGGTGATTCAAATCACCTTCCATGCAGAAAAGTGTGCTAGATGAATACATACCAAATATCACTATAAAACATTTCTGTCCCAGGCATTTTGCCCAGTTAAACAGTTAAAATTCTGTACAAGGGTCATGAGAATGCAGGTCCTTCTTAACTGTTGGTGTATCCCATGAAGACCAATTTGGCTTTAAAATAGTCTAGAGTTTTTTGAGTTTTATTCCATTTTTATTTTTTATTAGTACACATATGCAGTTTATGATCTGCTCCTTGTGAGGAGCTGATACACATACTAATGCATATCAGTTCTCTTTTTCATCCCCTTCTCTCGGTCCTCTTCCCTTTTTATGAAAGATCTAGTGTCCTTAAAATCACCCGGATTTTTAAAAGTTAAATTCTAATTAATACATGGCACTAGGTATTCATTTCTTTAAAAAAATTTTACTCTGACAAAATAAAAAACAGTTCCGATCCTATAAAAAATAGTGTATCTCTAAAGAGACAGAGCCCTAAATTATTTATGGATTCCAGCAACCCACTTTTAGAATGGGTTTGGCCAAAAAGGAACTATTTTTTTTTGTGCCTTATGTGAAAGGAAACTACTAAGTACAATGAACAAGTGATTACTCAAGACTAGATTTATTATATAATGATTCTAAGCTTAAGATTTTACTTAACAACAAACAATAAGAGTATTTGTTTAGTTCTAGCCAGGTCCTACCCTAAAAATTTTCAAGGAAAAGACATGGAAGAAAACTGCAAATGATATGTCACTCTTTTCATATGAAAACACCAAGTGTTGCACTAAAATAGAAAAGTTACTAGGTAACCAACACTATGCAAGGAGTTATTGATACAAAATTTTGAATTTAAGCAAAGTTTCTAGAATTATATACATTAATGCAGATTAAAAAATAAGAACAGACCTATTATGTTTTACTTCTAATACTTCTGACGTTTGGCTCTTCATTTTAAAATATTCAATGTTAGCTGGTTGTGGTGGCGCATGCCTGTAATCCCAGCACTCAGGAGGCTGAGGCAGAAGGACTGTTGTGAGTTCAAGACCAGCCTGGATTGCAAACTGAGCTCAAGGCCAGCCTGAACTGCATAGTGAGACCCTGTCTCAAAAAGACAAAATAAATAAAATATTCAAGATGATTTATTTTTAAATATTCAAAGTCTTTTCAGTATATACATACACACTTATATACACTGTTTGAGTGCATAATATAAATTCAGCCAGCAACATCTAACTTCAGTGGTCATGACAGGTTCTTTGTTTTGTGTATAGAAGACCCATTGCAGGGCTGGGTGTGTAGCTCAGTGGTGGAGCGGGTACTTCGCACGCAGAGACCTTGATTTCACCCCCACCACTCCCTAGAGATTAAACAACTGCGGTACAAAATTGCGTCCCTTAACAAGAAGAGGTTTCTTCTGTAGCCTATACCAGGTCTGCTATCCTTTTGGCCCCATATAGCACCGAGAAGTCTACCAATGTCCAAGGGAAATCTGGCAAGCCTAATAAAAGTTGAAGATGCTTTAGGGAGTAATAAAGGACCCTCATCCTTCACCCAATGGACTTCTCTGGCTATCCTTATTTTGCGTTGACAAGTATTCTGCTTTGCAGAGCAATAAAGCAGAGATATTTATTCCTGTTACATTCTAAGATATCTGTGAATTATCCAGTATGCAGGAATTCAGGCTGATCAAGTTAAGATTGGACACAATGTAAATAATGGCCTCAAAATATTTCTGTCTGTAAACATTTTCCACACATTCTAACATAGTTTTCTGTATCCCTTTTTTCTCTTCCCTCCAAATCTCAGTTTAACTTTTCTTTGATGAAAAACTAGTATAATGTAAGATATGTACTGTTAATCTTTTATTGTTATATTAATATTTTCTTAACTAACTCAGTCATGGAAACGTTTAATAATACAAGTAAATGGTTAATAGTACAGTTCTTTAGGAGGTAGGATTGCTTATCTTGTTCTAATTAAATTACAAATTATTATAGATGGTTTACTAAATTGAAAAATTTGGAAGCATTTGTAAGTCTGCCCACTTATAGTGATTTCACTATTCTTGAACCATAACACAACATTTTCACAGAAATTTTAATGTTATAAAATTTTCTTGGCAATAGGAACAAATTCATTCAACTAGTATAGACCAACTATTTCCTGTGTGCAAATCTCTCTGCTTGGCTCTCCAGGAACACAGAGAAATAAAATACTGTCTTAATTCTCAGCAAGATAGAGCATTAATACTAAATATTTATTTTAATACCAGCACATCATCTCAGTCACTAATTTTGTGATGTGGATAGAGTCTTAGGCAGTGGTAAAAGAAAAGCTGTGCCCTGTCCTCAGAGGTGATACTCAGCTATCCCTGCTCGTTGGCACGGTGGGACACAGGACACTGTGGGCTTCAACTGTTAACTCACGATCTCACGACACACCAACACTTTCCCCAGCAGAGCTCCCTTGGTGTGCACCGGCTCAATCTCAGCCCTACTTATAGCAGAATGATTTTAGTCTGAGGAAGAAACTGAGGCAGCCAGAAAAATAAATCACCAAGAGATTACAAAGGAGGAAAAGAAGGCACCTGGCAGGTTTATGGAAGACGTATTAGCTGAAAAGTGGGCTGAATCTGAACAGGCGGCAGTGGCTGGTGTGGGGGCTGGAGCTGAGAAAGTTCCAGAAAAGTCAGTGAGTGAACAGAGGAAGGCCATCCAGAACACATGGGTTGTGTGTGGATAAGAGGGAATTCTAAAAGCAAAGATTGGGGCCACATCAAGCAAATTTAAATAAACAAAACAAGCCAGGTAAGATAGTGAATGCCTGAAATTATAGCACTCTGGGAAACTGAGGCAGAAGAAAAGAAAGAAAGGGAGGAGAATGGAGTTCAATGCATAGGCTCAAGGTTGAAAAAAAGAAAGATGTGATCCACTAAGGAAAGATGGGCAGGAGAGGAGGAAAGAGACTAAAAGTGGCAAAGTCAGGCAGCTCTTACACAGTTACCACACACACACACACACACACACACACACACACACACACATCTCAACTCTTAAGAGGTCTTTTGTTCAAGGAACCTTTCCTCTCTCACCCTTCTAGCCTGAGAGAGTGTCCTTCATCGGGACTCCGCAAGGTCCCCTGCTGTCTCCAGGTCCCTACACTGCCCGGCTGTGGCGGAAGTGCTCATGCACCTGGTGTTGTCCCACCAGAGTCTGACTCAGCCTTCCACGGGAGGTGCAGGTGAAGATCAGCACCTGCACAACTGCTAACCTCCTGTCGCAAATACAGACTTGAGCTAAATTTCTAGGCGAGGGCTGCACGGCTTCTTTAATTGGAGGTGCTTGTTACAGAGGATTACAAAACTCATCAGACTTTATTTCAAATGGATCAATTTATGGTGCCACATGGTAATACGAGTTTAGCGTTAGCCCCCTCTCCCTTTCTTGATTTTATTTCAAGTTTCCCAGCAGGAAGTACGACTTGGTGTATGCTGTTCTCAGTGAGCGAAGTGTCTCCTACACTTTGCTTCCTGTAGGCTTCCTGCCTACAGGACAGGAGTGAAGGCCGTATGGCAGTGACAGGAGGGAAGAGAGGAGGTGAGGTGCATGGAGAACCAAGAAACTAACAGAACTTGGCCTCCTGGAAGACAAGAGGTCAGGGATGCAGACGTAGAGAGACTAGACAGAGAGAGAGAGAGAGAGAGAGAGAGAGAGAGAGAAGCTTTTAAAATGAGTGGGAAGAGGAGCAGATCATGAAGGGGGAGAAGAAGTTCAGTTCTGCCTTGTATCAGTTGTCCTGAGTCTGTGGTGCACAAAGAGATCGAGGAGGGTCATGTCCAGCAAGAGGGTATTCAACACTTTTTTAAAGGAAAGTATTTCTCATTGGTTTCCGGGAAAGCCCAGAGTTATCTTTCACGGGATTTCATACCAAATTATAAAAAGCAGCCTTTACCTTTGCTGCTGATGTCCACCAGAACAAAAGCCTTCACGCTAAATGAAATTTTTGCTATTGGGGTGTTAGCGACAGGGGACAGGCTGGCCATCTTTACACTCTTCCCTTCAAATTAAATACTTGGTCCCTCTCCAGGGCCCAACAATGCTCCAACAATTCAAGTCTCTGACTGTGGGGGCTGGGGATTTAGCTCAGTGGCATAAGCACCTGCCTTGCAAGCAGGCAGTCGTGAGTTTGATCCCCAGTATCGATGAAAAGGAAAAACACAAAAACAAACAAAAAAAGACAAATCAAGTCTCTGACTGTGAGAAAGGCCTGCATAAAACTCTAAGACTGTTTCTTCTAAAATATTGATAGTAATGAGAATCATCTCAGGCTTCTTTTGAGTTAAGTAGAATGATTCATCTAAAGTGCTTTAGCATGATGCTGGGTTATTAGAAAACATTAACAAACGACTGTCCAAGTGCTAATTTAATAAAGGAATATGGAAAAACTTTTTTCCAGTAAATGAAACTTTATTTAAGAAAAAAAAAAAAGGATGGGGCTGGGGGTTCAGTTCAGTGGCACAAGGCTTGCCTGGCAAGTGCAAGGTCATGAGTTCAATGCCCAGTACCAAAAAAAAAAAAAAAAGGAAATTGCAAAGACCAGAATATTAGTTCAATGTTTTCATTCATTTCATAAGTTTTAGAATTTAAATCGGGGTTCTTTATGAAAATAAAGAACTTTTACTAAGTATTTTATTGAACATGACCATATCAAAAGTCCTATAAATTCACAAAATAGGATATAAGCAAGCCCAGAGCTTGCTTTTCTGACAAGTTAAAAGAAATCTAAATGGGGGTAGAATGGAAAGCCTACTGTGATACTGTAGGAATGAAGCATCAAAGGCATTTTGTACATGTACTTTACCATATGGCAAACATTTAACCATGGCAAGTTCCATATATACTTTATCCACCTGTTGTCTAGACGAGCCCAGGAACTGTCCGCATGACTTTCACTATCCCGTCTGCCTGGACAAAACCCTTCAGCCTACCGCCCTCTCATTCAACAAATATTCTGAGCTTCTACTAAGTACCAGCCAGCCAGCTGGTCAACAACTCGGTGCACAGAAGTGCACGGCTGCGCCCGAACTCTTCGTTGCCTCTCTTGATTAAGGACAGAAAGGCCAAGGCTGCAGAAGGAGGCCCCAGGAAACCGGCGGGGGACGCCTCACCTCCCGCGCAGACAGAGGCTCCCATACTCCCGGCAAAGCCCAGTGGTCCAGGGGTCCGGGTCAGGGCCGAGCCTGGCAGCATCGTCACCCCGCCCGCCCTCCTGAGCTCCGGCTCCGCCAAACCGGCCGCCGTCTCCATGGTAACTGTACACAAACCACCTCCCGCCGGGATGCCTACCAGCAATCCTGGGCCGCCGCTGGGCAGGTGGAGGACGGGAGGATGCGTTTGGATTGGGCACAGGGAAGAGGACTCCAGACCTGACCCAAAGTACCTGTGACAGCGCTGGAGACAGAAACCCCGGCGGAGTTCAGCGCATCCCCCACCTCTCCTACTTCCGCGCCGCGGGAGAAGGTAGGCGGAGTCACCCGCGGGCGCTGCTCCGCTACTGAGCCTGCGCAGACCCGCCCCCGCGCATGCGTAGAATGCCGGGCCGGGCGGCGGGTGCTGGAGTACCAGGCTCAGGAGGAGAGGCGTCTAGGGAGGTGTCCACTCGTAAACTAGCAGTTTGCCGGACCGCGTTTGCTGATCCACTGTGAAATCCCTGCGCCGCTTTTACATTACAGTGCCCAGGACAGCAGCTAAGCTGTTTAGGGTAAGAATGAGGATTTACTGCTTCCCCTTGAGGCTCTGTGTGTCTGGGAGCTAGTTGCTTAACCTCTCAGCGTCCTCATAGAGTAAGTGGAGGGTTGTATGAAATAGTAACTGGCTGTGTCTTGGGCTTTTAGGGAGGTTGGATGAGAAGCTCCAAAGCGCTATGCGTGTAGCTATCAGTGTTGAGCTGTTGGCTGTTAGTAAATCCTTGCATCTGTGCCGCGCGCTTCAGGATTTACAAAACATGTTCTCATAGCTCTTATAAGGAAAGGCTTTGCAACTCCTGAGGTGGGCAGCTCTCCTCACAGGAGAGGACCTCGGGGATCTAGTGAGTAGCAGAGCGAGATCCAAATCTAGATTCCCTCTTGTAGCCCCTCCAACACACACACACACCGTGTACTGCGTCATCATGGTTGAATGTTTAAAAGAAACCTATTTTTTTGTTTCTAGTTGTAATTTTGTTTTCTCCTCTTAGATCATTCAGCACCACTTTACAGTGTGAAATACAAGTGAGACCATAATCACTCCCCACATAGGTTTGCACCATGATTTATAAATATAGGGATTTTTAAGCTTAAGTGTTGTTGTCAACATTGGAAAAATGCCACATCCTTTGGTGCTAAGTATCTTGTAAAGAATAATTAAATAGAAAATATTTTTGAGCCTGTACTATGTGCTTCGCGAGAAATGATAGTCAAACTAATGGAACGTAGGGGTTGGGGATTTAGCTCAGCGGCATAAGCGCCTGCCTTGCAAGTGTGTGGTCATAAGTTCGATCCCTGGTACCAATAATAAGAAAAAAGACCAAAAAAAACTAAAGGAGTGTAAACAGCCTTCAAAGTATCCAATAGAATTTCACATGTGACAGTAAAAGATTAGTTGATTGATTTTAGGACCTGATATAAAATATTTGTGTTTTTCAGGGTCAAAATGTTTTCTACTGGCAAGTTATCATAGCAAGTGTCACTTGTTGCCACTGGACTCCATCCTGCAAAGGGACATTTATCTGTGTCGTACAAAATCATAACTAGTATTCAAACCAACAACTGTGATAAAATGCAACTATTTTGGCCCCTTAGTCATTTTAAAATTTATTCAATGCTATTTACCTTCTTTCCACTGATGGAAAGTTAGGTAGAATCCTTGAATTTTCTCCTTGTTCCTATATATCTGATGATCTGACAGTAATTTGTAGTGGAAGCTTCATCCCAAATTATATTGAGTGAAGACAAACAAATATGAAAAACTTCACTTGAAATTAAGTCTTCATTTCCATATCTCCACCCTAGGCTTATGGTCTATAGCAGCCCTGAAGAGATGCAGTTAGCTTAAGTTTGCCCTCTTCTATCCCCTAGAGTGGCAAGGATAAACCCTTTAGAGTTTTCAAGAATAACAAACAGCCAGCAGAGACACACATGCCATAAGTTTGCACCACTGCCCCAGAGACTGTTTAAGATAGCATGGAGGGGGCTGGGGATTTAGCTCAGCCGCATAAGCGCCTGCCTTGCAAGCCTGTGGTTGTGAGTTTGATCCCTGGTACCAGTAAAAGTACAAAAAAAAAAAAAAAAAAAAAAAGATAGCATGGAACCTAGTGGGTAGAGAGAGAGAAGAGAGGAAAGAAAAAAAAGCCTTCTTCCTGGGTTTGAGTGGCCTTGAGCTTGCTGACCCATATTCATATTTGGATGTTTCCTGGACTCTGGATACTTTGCTTATGAGGACCTGTGTCCTGGGGACTCCTGACCCAATAGGAACAATACTATTCACTAGTTGCCTCTGTTTGCTGCCCTGTACCTAAATCTCAAAGGGTCGCTCCAGCTTCCACTGGCCCAAGGAAAACCTCATACATCTCCAGGGACTCTGAGGTGTAGGCTTATTCCACAAGCCTCCTGTGTTGCTACCACAGGATTCCTGTCCCTGGTGAGCCCACCTGGTTCGAGTCACATCTCTCACTGATATGAGACAGACATATGACTCCATATTTCTCTCTCAAAAAGCATTTTTCTCACACATCCTCCCCTACCACTCTCTGGCCCCTTATGGTCGGATTCAGAATGGACAAGGGGTCCAGAAGGGTGGTGAGGGTCTGTATGTTTCATTGTATCCTGCCCCTTTGTGCTCCGCCTCACCCTCACTTTGAAACCAGTAATTACACAATTACCATCTCAGTTGAAATAGCCTAAAACCTTGTTGGACAGCAGTCACTAGCTATGCTCTTGTGCCTAGGGTCTTGTCTAAAGTGACCTTGTAAGTATGCTACTGGAACCTCCAGCAAGCAGCCCAGAAGGCCAGGATGTATCTGTCAGGCAAGCCAGTACAGTTGAAAGGGGTGACAAGGGCAGAATTCTAGGAATCTGCTACTTGAAGCAAGAAAGCTGTGCGGCTTACTTCACTGAAGAGTACTATACAGGAAAATATTTAGGCTAACACACCAGTGACCTGTGTATTATGCCTGTGTGCCTCCACGGTTGCTTGATGGCTGTTTGCAGAATTTTACATAGGTAGGCTTTGTAAGTAGAATTTTTTTAGAAATAAGTGTCAGGCCAGGGATTTAGCTTAGCATCACAGCATCTGTCTTGCAAGCATGAGGGCATGAATTTGATCCCGGTATCAAAAAAAAAAAAAAAAAAACTCTTATATAGAAATAAATGTCAACATATTTTGTATACCTTAGAGAGATTAAAGACAAAATGTTAGTTATAATTTCCAAATTACTTTCATTTGAAACACTTCATTTCTGTTGTTCATTTGGAGTTTAAAATAAGTCCAGAAGAATAATTCAAGTATTATTATCTCCACCTAAAAGTGAAGTGGAGGTTCAGAGAGGTTAAGGGTCTGCCCATAGACACACAGCGAATAAAGGCCTGAGGCCTGATGGTCTTGATGCCAAGTCCAGCGTGCTGTCCTACCATGGTCCATGTGTAGATACTTTTTCAAGTCAGTGCTCTTCATCCGTATGAAGGAGAGCTACTTCCTGGGCTGCAGGAGCTCTAGACATCAAGAAGAATTTAAGAATGTTTATAGCCACTTGAAAATACCTGCAGGATTTCTGGATTTCAAGTTAAGAGAATTATATGGGTGGTGGACTGTGTAATGACATAATCTTATTCACTCTTGGATGTGTAAAAAATTCAACAAAATGATAAACTTACAGATGTTGTTTGTCTGCAGACTTAGCAATTACATCATAGTTTACATCACATATTCCTCATAGTTAATATCTATAGGCTCTCTTGATTAATCTACTAGATATGTTCTTGAAAAATACAGGCTAAATAAACACTTCATTAATGCTCACAATTCCCTCCAGTGATTTTTAGAGCTATGACAGAGATATGACAAAGAAAAAAAATGTTTCTGATGTGAAATAAAAATCAATTTAGAATTCTAATACTCATTTCAAGACATCCTGGTTTTGCCAGTATGGAATTTCAGTGCTTTAGTTAATCATACAGTCCCTGTGAGGAGCCCATCAAATTGATAGCCTGTACAATTTTTGCATACAGATTTAAAAGCATAAATACATTAAAATGAAACTTGGTGGACATTTACAAAACAATGAAAATTCACTTGATGGGATGGCACAGACCCATGACTATGGCGTTAAACTAAACCATGTGAGCTGAAAAGATCACGGGAAACACTATTTAATGAGGCTCAGCTTTTATCTATGCACATTCAGTATTATTTTGCTTTAACATTTTATTCCTACCCCATCACCCCAGCCAGGTGCTCCGTAGAACTCAAGCTGATAAGGGCTCTAATGAACAAGTGTCCATTTAATTAGCAGCTGGCTACTTCGTATTTCATTGGAGGAGAGGAAATCCTAGTTGTTAGGAAATGATTCAATAAGACTGTATAAATTGTTCCATGCAAACCCTCCTTTAATGCCTCTCCTGGGTTAAGAGCCCCACTAAGACAATCAAAGACATATTTGTTGAAATCAATCATGAGACATTACTGAGCATGCCCTTATCTCTTGGAAGCTTTTGGCTGTAAATAACAGAATGTTCCATCAAAGTTTAAATACCAAGGACGTGTATTATTTTGTTTAACCATAAAGCTGGGAGTAGACTATATAGGGTGGTCCTGCAGGTTAGGGACCAAGGCATGTCAGTCACAGCTCCCCACAAGGTCACAGTTGGTTAGGCCAGCACCGAGCTATGCATTTTCACATCACAGTGTCAAATCAAGGACCAATGAACAAGGGAAAGACCCTCTCTTTCTGTATAATGGAAGAAAAAAATCCCTGGAAGCCTCGTTCTTCACTGGCCAGAATCATGACATAGGTCCCCATGACAGCCCTAGCAGAGATGAATGGAATTACTATTACTGTGATTTATTTAGGTCAGGGACTTTTCATCGCTGAAACAAACACCTGGGTAACTGACTTCAGGAAAGGCTTATTTTGGTTCATGGTTTTGGAGATTGCAGTCCATGGTTAGTTGGCCCCATTGAGGCAGAAGACTAGGACGTGGCAGTGTGGCTGGAGTAGTCGGGCATGACCTGCCAGCTGAGGAGACTCGTGAGCCATGGGCACAGAGTGGCACCCCCCGAGCCTGACACAGGACCAAACAGCCCTGCACTTCCCGTGCCAACCTTCTGAAGTGGGAGCATGCCAAACCTGGCACCTGATTCCAATCTTCTAGCACGAGATCAAGCAGCTCCACCTGGACCTAATGCTGAACGGAAGACACAAAAAGCCTGCAGCGATGGACTTCATACCCGGTGTCCCCTGCTCTTGCAGTGGCCCATTCTGCTAGCGGGCCATATCTTCACTTTTTCCTTCCAATCACCTTTTTTTCCTCTTCTTAGTTTTGCTTAAAGTGTCAGTCCTCACCATCCACCCATCATTCTAACCAATTTGTTGAATGGAACGGGTAAGCTGGTCCCTGGGACATCTGTAACATTGTTGGGCTTCTGGCAGCATAGTGGAGGGAATACATGGCAGAAAAGACTGGTTCACCTTGTGGTGCCCAAGAAGCAGAGACAGGGAGACAGGAGGAAGCCAAAGTTCCAGTATCCCCTTTAAAAGCCCTTACCACGGTGTAACTGCTCCCACTTGACCCCAGCTTCTAAAGCTGTGATGTGAATCTTTTAGAGCTTTCAGTGATGACAAACAGCCAACTATAGTTTGCATGCCGTAAGTTCACCCCCCCCCCATGTCACCATGGTCAGGAATCAAAGCTTTAACAAGAGGGCCTCTGGGGAGAGCAGTCCAGATCCGAACGACAGCAGTAATCAAGTTTCATCACTTGGGTCTTTGGAGAAGAGCCTACTTTTTCTGAGCGTTTTGCTGCCTTAACTTGTATCAACCAGGAGTTTGTTTAGTAGGACAAAGGGGCAATATCTGTGAGTAGACACCAGTGACTGACTTAATGGTCTGGTATGGATTCCCAAGGTGAAGAAGCCACAGCCTCCGATGTCATGCACAATCCTGGATGCCCAGTAAAGTCACCTGAGGAGCTTCAAAATCCACCACTGCCCAGCACTCACCTGGTGTTCTGATGTAGTTGCTGGGCGATGTGACGAAGCAGGAGGGGCTGTAGAGGGCTGCTCTGAGAGCTCCTGACTCAGTGGCCAGAACTTTTCTTTGAAGCAGAACTGTTGAAAGAATCCTTAGCTTTCAAAGCAGAAGTAGAGAAGAACCTAATTTAGTCATGGTCCAGAGATTAAAACTCCACCCACAGACTCAGGGTGCTGTCCTTGATGTCCCAGCTCCCTGGGACCATGCCATGGTGGGCATGTTTACATCTAGTACCCAACTGGTTCTAACCCCACTCCACTCTGGTCCTGTTCCAAAACTCAGTAGGCAAAGTGACAGTCATAAAGCACAGTGCGGAACATGCTCTCTGCTTAGGAATTCCCTGTGTCAGACAGGTGACTGTCAGGTAAAATCTCTGACCTTCTGTGGTCTGCGTGACAGCTTGTGTTTCTATCTGGTTATAGTAACGGGGTTGTCTTTAGGGGTTCAATGGAATAAGTGCTTCAAATCAGTCACCCTTCCTAACACTAAATTACTGTCACCTTCATTCTACAGGCTGACCCATGGCCACAGGCAGTAGGGTGGTGGATTTGGCTGCAAGCCCCACTTGATGGCAGCTGTGTTCCTATAGGCATCATACACACAGCCAAAGTGGACTCCTGCCACTCCCTTGGCGCCCTCCACCCGTCGGTCCCACAGCCCTGATACTCAGCAAAGATGTTTATTAATCACTGTATTTCTGGAAGGATCTGCAAGAGGAACTGGCCTCTCCAAGTAGGCCACGGGGTGAGGGTGGGGGCTGGACTCTTCCATGCCCTCCTGCCACCTGCCTGCCTTCGGAGCGAGTTGTGGTGGACCCAGGCAGCATCAACCTCTTGTGGCTTTTGGTGGCAATACCCCAGGATCCAGCAGCAGAAATCGGGGGTTTGTAGGGGGATGTTGAATGGCACCAGGGACCATGTTAACAGACAGGCTATAGGGCCAGGCTGCAGGTGGAAGTAAAGGGGGAGGAAGAGATGGCCTGAGAGGTCAGGGGAAAGCTGCAGGCCACAGGTCACACAAGGGTGCAGAGCAGGAGGTGGGTGGGCCAAGGGAGAAGTGCCCTTGGCGGAAAGAGCTCCGGACCGGAAGTCAAAAGACCTTACTACAAAGGCTGCTTCTGTCACCCCCGAGCTGTGTCAGGGTGGGCCCTTAATAGTTACAACTGCCTCCCAGCACAGTTCAGCCCTCTTGGTACAGCTTTAGTATGGAATGTGGAAAAGGTTGTAACCAGAGAAAGAGCTGAGGGCTAAAGGTTTTGGAGGTGGCTTAGATGTGACAGCCAGGTACCGAGACCCAGGATGAGGCCTGGCTGGTTTCTTTCCTGAAAAAAAAGTCAGGGTGATGGAGGCTTAAAGAGGTAGAGAGGATACAGAGGGAGAGAAAGTCTGACCTGGCAGTAGATTACCCCCCTTAGGCATTTTGAGCTATTCACGTAACACCTGAGTGACCAGGTGCACCAGCTCCCTAAACTGAGTGCTGCAGGGGAGACCTCTTGGTCCTCTTGGGTGACTGCAGCAAATATTCTTCAAGCTTACCCAGGAAACATGCTTTGTTTGCTTTGATATTCTCAAATTCAGGGGAGTTTTCTTTTAAAAATGTATTTGTGCACTGTTAAGATAGTAGCCCCAGAATGTATTACCTTAGCGATATGACAAAAGGCAAAATTTAAACAGAGAAAAGAAAGTTTGTATTTAACTGTAATCACTCAAGGAAATGTAGAATCTAGTGTTCTAGTATTCAGACAGAAGGAAACCTAGCAGGTCCTAGATCTAGATGAAGGTTCCGGGCTTCCATGAAAAGGTATTTAAGAGCTGCAAATGTTAAACACACATCTTTATCACCATGAAAATAGTTGTGCAATTCTTTATATGCTTTTGAGAATAATTTTTTTAAATTATTATTATTATTATTTTTTTGTCTTTCTCATTTTTATCGGTACCAGGATCGAACTCACAACTGCCTGCTTGCAAGGGAGGCGCTTATGCCGCTGAGCTAAATCCCCAGCCCCTAAATTATTTTGACAAAGAACTAAAACCTCATGATAGACACTAAAAAAAGTGCAAGGTACTTTTTATTAACCAATAACATGGCTACAGTATTGCACTATGTTCTATAAAATGCACACTAAGGGAAATTGTACAAATGGGACCCGGGGCTTCTCATCACCTCTCTAAATTATTTTTTTCACAGTTGTGTGTGAATCTACAATGATCTCAAAGAGTTTTAAATAAATCTCTTTCTCATTTTCTGTGTCACTTCTACAGGGTTCATAGATGAAGAGTTGTGATTAAAACAGGAAATACTGTTTCAGAAATATATAGGATGCTTCTCCCACAACACAGTGTGGATAAAACAATACTTTTCTGAAACTTGAAAGCTAATAGTCTTAACTGCTCAGGAAAAGTGAATTTGAGTGCTAAAAGTCATTCCATAAAGTGAGTCATTGTAGGCCTTTGCTAAATTCACACGAAGAGATTGCCTAAGTGAATCGAGGTTCCATCAAGTTTTTTTTACCGAGCATGGAAGGAAATGAAAAAGTTTCTGATTTCATGTTTGTTTTGAGAGCTTGAATCACATTAAGAAAAGGAATTCTTGACTTAAATGGCAGGGTCCAACTCAGCTCATTTCTCTCAAGGCTGGAAACGCTCGGCTCCCCTAGGACCCTGTGGCTCTCTGTCCCTTAACTGCAGCTGTCCCTGGTGCACCCACAGCCCTCCTCACACCACCCTCGGTTCAGTGCCGGAGGCCAGGCACCATGTGCCGCCATGTGATG